TGGTCAGCAGCTGATGACTGCAAAACAAATGCAATTGCAGAGACAGATGGCATCTGAGAGCCAACCTCATGTTTCCTGTCCCAAACCAGGCCTGATTTTGTGACAGGTTTTGTATCTGCCTCACCAGGTAACACAGCAGTCACTCCAACACAGAGGATGCACCCACGAGCAAGACAAATCCCTGACCTTTCAGAAAGCCTCACCCATCCCCTTGTGCTCCTAGTCAGGAAAGACTCTGTCACTGGAATAATGCTCCAAAATCACCAACATGAATTACCTTCATGCCTGGGTCTACCTTGGCAGACCCTCAGGCATGGCAGGAAGGGGAGCAAGTGGTGCCAAGACATTGAAATGGGTGCCAGACTGGCAGGTAACAGGGGAGGGTATTCCCAGCCCAAAGGTGCTCTCTGCTCCCCACCAGCACTGTCCATTAATTCCCACAACAGTCCAGGGACATTGGCAGGAGCATCATCCACCTTGTACAGGTGGGGAAGAGAGGCAGACAAAGAGCATTCCCTCTGTTCAGCTGGAAGAAGGTTCAGCCCAGCCTCTTCAGGCCTTTGCTCAGAAATTTTGCAGTCAAAAGGAAAACCTTCTGTTAGATTTTTCCAGTATACTTGAGATGACTGGCTTCATTAAAAACAAAGAGAGAAAAAGCCCTAATGTGCACTAGGGAATAGGCAGTTGCTCAGTAAAGCATACACAGTAAGAGAGAAACTGTGTAAGGAAGAAAAAAAAAGCATGAAGAGCAATTTGAAGCCAGTAGCAAGAATTAAAGCTGGGTCCTAACACAAAACAGGCTGCTACAATATATGAAAGAAAATTACGTGTGGGAAGGTTAAACACAAGATTTGATGCTGTAACACCATAGACTGCTCAGCAGCTACTTTTAGAGGCTGCTGATTAGTGCAGCCCAGGATGGGTGCTTGCTGACCCTTGCAGGAATCCCAGCAATCATCCAGCAGGAAGGCACCACGCTCACACAGCGATGGCCAGCGCCCCGGAGCTGAGCTGAAATCAAGCCTCCAACAACCACACAAAATACAACATGAAAATGAAATAACTTGCAATTAACAAAAATGAGGAGTTAAGAGGGGCCTACAGTCCCTAATCAATCTCTTGCTGCCTGGCCTGCTCCACGATGAGCCCCATTGTTAGTTTTGATTGTGTGTGCGGGAGTGTGAAGCGGCGGCTGGAAGAATAGCTCTCCATCAAAACTGTGATTTCCTTCTCCCCTCGAGACTCATCAAGGGTGAAGAGGAGGAGAGGGGAGAAGATAGAGATACAAAAAGAAACAAACAGCTAGAACAGGCTTCCCCAAGACACTCTGCTAGGTTTGAGGAGGAATAACTGAAACTGCAGGTGTGCCAAGAATGTGGACTCAAGAATCACAGCTCCCATCACTGCTGTCAGCTTCAAGATGAAACAAGAGCACTCAGGAGAATAAAAGTAATCCCTGCATTAACCATCCTGCTTATTCTGAGCTGTACATCATTCACCAGCGTGCCCTGGCCAGACTGGTACTCAGACTGTGCTGGAATCTCAGCAGACCAGACTCTCTGCTCATTTAACCACATGAGTTATTATTCTCTTCCTAATCTCTCTAGTAAGGAGTTGTTTTTACACCTCCAAGAGAGAGCTCTGAATGTCCCTACTTCGGGTAAATGTACAAATTTAATGTAAAACTAGATATTATTATTTGCCCACAAAGATAGTTTAACATTTTAGAAAATGCAGTGGCCTCCTGCTCTCAGTAGTTCCTTGAAGCCATAGGGTCTATCAAATAAAAGGATTTCTACTCTTTTTCTTTCAAATTGATTGACTTCAAATGCTTTGGCTGGGACTGTGTCCTTAGGCACACAAAAAGAAAAAAGCCTGAGATTTAATTTCTTTCCACTGTTTGTTCATTTGTACAAGTGTCTCCAAATCATCTCCTCTTCAAATTTGACCAGTCTTTCTGTTTACTGAAGGACTTTCTTTGTCTGAAACAATTGTCATTGCCTTTCTAAAGACCTCATTTCCTTACTCCCATTCAGGACCCAGCCAGAGACAAGGATAAACAGCACAATGTACTCCTGGCCAGGCAATGACAGCCTGATTTGCCACCTCCTCATTCCCAGCCAGATAAGCGGATGCAGAGGCTCCCCAGCAATGTTTGTTTGTTTTAACAGACATCTTTAATGGCTTGTTACAAAGGGACTTGAGGCTGTTCCTGGATATCTGATGGGTGGGCTGGTCTAGACACACCAGTGAAGCATCACACAGAAGTCTGTGCCACGGCTGGACACATCTAATGGAGCAGCAACAGGAACAGAATACAAAACTGTCAAGTGCCCCAGGAGCTACAATGCATTACAGCCCACAAAAAAATCATCAGAATCTAAACTCCTGGTGAGGAATCTGTAACAGCCTTTCCACAGTGTTTAATTGAAACAATAAAAAGGAGCAAACAAACAGGAGCGAGCTGTGAAGCCTGAGATGTGCCTTTGTGCCCACGCACTCACAGAGGGGCTGGAAATCACTGGGACATCCTTCAAGCTGATGAGCTCATCTGTTGCACTGATAGGGATCACCAATAAATACTGGTATGGTTGCAGTGGAATTCAGTGCTCATTTATAGATGCAGTCATTGACATTCCCAGCACAGCACTGTGATTAACCCTTTCACTGGAGCTGTAAACCCAATTAATGCAAACTGGCAGGACACATACAGCAGGTAGATAATAAGCTCCACTATAGTAACAGCACACCTTGGCCAGGAAAACCAACATCTTTCATCTTCATTTAGCTTTGAAGGGGTTACATTACAGGAGCTCCTATTGCATCCCTCACTTAAAATTAAATGCCACCAGCAGTGCTACTGAAATATGCTTTTAAAGTTTACAGCCGAACTACAGAAGCTTGTAAAGTGCCAAGGGACTTCTCTGGTTTAATTATATAGACCCTGTTCCATAAACTGCTTGAATAGAATAAATACAAATAGCTTCCATGCTTTGTGACCTCTCTGGGTTAATGAAATGCACACAAACACCCACAGTCTGCTATGGCTCAGAAATTCCACAGCATAAACACACAGCCCTGCTGGAAGCTATAGTCAGGATTCAAGCCTTCATACATACAAGAGAACCAGCTGCCTGGACTCAGCAAGGAAATAATTTGTTGTTTATATTCTACTACTATTCAAAGCTGCAGCCAGTGGGAATTGTCTGCAATTTACTTAACAGGGAGAAAAAGTCTGAAGTTTTTAAATTGATGTTGAAGTTAGGAAATCTGCTCCTCTTGTCCGGAGAGGTGGTGAGGTAAGAGAGCCTGAGGAATTCCAAGAATCAATAAATGACCCACCCTTGGCTCTAAGAAATGTGAGATCTTCTTTACCTGTTGACACTCACCTCCATCCTTGGCACGTACTTGGGAATAAATACTCAAATGAAGAAGAGAAAGCAAGAAGAATGTGTAGAGAGAGAAATCTGTGCTTTAGTATCCTCCATCCTGCATGTAAATATTTTATATTGCCATTTCACCAAGGAGAGTTTCCTTCTACCCGTGGCAAGCTCCTGAGCTTCCAGCCAGTTCTTGTTCATGTGGCCAGCATACAATCTTCTCACATTTTCTCAACTTTCTCCAAGCATGCCATCTCTCTTGTGGTGCAGAAAAAACTGCAACTTGTACTGTCTGGCCATGGCATCCAACAGACATCTCCAGGAGTCTGCTGAAGTTTCATTCATTGGATATTTAACACTACAGGTGTGAGCACAGGTCTCTGGAGGTGTTAGAGCAGCACTGCACCATCTCAACAGAGAACTATTTTCAGGACTTAATGATAGCACCTTAAAATCAACAGAGTTATTCTCTTCCTTGGGCACCGAGCTGCTTTTGTTGCTGCTATGTGCCTCAGGTAATACAGAACTCTCCTAAGGCCAAGCAATATGACTGTTTTGGGGATATTCTCCTAGTTTTACTGAAGATCCTAGGTGCTGTCTTATACACACCCTCACTTGCTCTATTTGTTGTGTTTTATTTGTTATACATTTTTTTCCTGAGTCACTAAAGTTGCAGAATAGGAAAACATTTGTCCCATTATATAGAGAAGCAATCTGGCAACCATCCACATGTGGCACACAGCTGTGGGTCTGCAGAAACAGAACTTCCCCACTTCCTGCTTGTGGAGTTCCCTCCTGTACTGAACCCCTCCAAAACCCTTCTTAAAGGAGATTTTCCTCAGGAGGATCAGTGGGAGGCAGGTATGACTTTAAGGGCTGTCGTGTTTGACATGGAGAAGAAGAAAGTTCTCCCACTGACCTGTAAACTTGGGCTGTTGGCATTGGACCAATCTAAAGACAGGACTGAACATCTTGGTGACTTCTAAATCACACCTCTGCTCTCTAATGCATCAGCTCAGAAGATAACAGAGGAGGAAAACAGCCCTTGTATGAAGGCACAAGCTCACAGCCCACCCAGCCAGAGCAGGAAAGCACCCGACAGACAGAAGACAGACTGTTATTGCTACTCATCTGTGCCGTTCACATAAATGGCACTTCACACACACCAGCATGAGTTGCTGCTCAAAAGGGATTCCAATTTACATAAAGACAAGATGATGACACGCAGACAAGCTAGAGGATGGTAAAAAAACATAGGGAAATATATCTCATAGTGAAGTAATGATGAGCCTTGATGGTTACATAAGGTTTTATTACTGCGGCATGTAACTGATAATATAAAAAGGTGAAGTGCCAGGCCAGATGCCTGAGGTATTATGCATAGAGAGTCTCTTCTCTTTACTCCAGACTTTGATATATAAGTGGGAGACCAGATGTCAAACCTCCTACTTTTGAACAGAAGAAAGGATCTTTACTTCCCTCACGAGCAACACTCTGCCAGGTAACAGGGGGCAGTGATTTTCCAGTCTAATCACTGAGAAAGAGCAAATACACCCTGGCACATTGAAAAAAAAACATGAACCCAAAGAAGCAGGTGCAGGCAGGGGTGCACAGACCTACCTTGAAAAGCAGGCAGTCCCCCTGGTGCTCAGCATAGATGGAGCTGAGCCTGTACTGGTTCTCGGTGGTGATGTCGATCTGGTAGCCCGTGAGTGTGTAGCACACCTTGCGGAACTCCTGGATCTTGGTCTGGAAAACTTCTTTCAGGCGTTGGTTTTTCAGTTCTGCACTTTCCACTTGCTTCTTCAGCTCTGGGTAAGGGAAGAAAATGGGCACTTTCTTATATGTCACCAGCACGGAGCCCTTGTGCTGTACTTACAGTGCCAGCCAAACAGAGTGAATTGAAAAGGTTAATTAAAAAGTGAATTAAGCAGGCAAGAAACAAGCAAGCTGGATGCCTCTCCTCCTGGACCCAGCAGACTAAAAGATAGTAAACTGGGGAGTAAGGAAAACAGACATGTCTTGGTGGGATGGATTTTTCTTTTGCTCAGCCAGTCTACACTACAACAACACACTACAAAAATTCAAAGCTGTAGCATCCATTTCCCCACATGCACACAGCTTGTTTTCTACACAGAACCCAAGAGAAGGGTGCTCCTCTACAGAAAGCAATAAAGTGGAAAAATGGTCCAAAATACGCCTCTGTATGGTTGCATCAGGAGGAAGCTGCCTACAAGGGAAATCTCCTCCAGTGGAGGAGATTTGAGGTAAGTGCTTTGATCTCAAATTGACACACTGCTTAGGAATCCCTCAAGGTTTGGGAAGGGGCTTTTATTGTGATAAAAAGCCTGGAGAGCACCTCTGCCTCTTTGCATTTGCTACCTTAGCTGGACTAGCCCCTATCAGAGAGGTCCTGGGAGACTGCCTGCCACTCACCCTGTGTTTTATTGCTACAAAGGGAGCTGCCAGCACTGTGAATCCTTCAAGAGGATACACAACAATTACCATGAATCTTTCACCCAAGGTGCCTTCTGAGTAATTAAACCTCGATTTATCATCCCATTAATTAAAGAGATTGGCTTTACTTTAATATACACTAGAGATGTCTCCCAAGTCAGCCTGTTTTATCAACACTGCAGTCCAGGGTTAGGAAAAATCCTGACTCTTTCTAACAGCAAACAAATAGACTTCCTCAGTCGAATACCTCTTTGTCATTGTGAGGTTTAAGGCTTTGTGCTGTGATCAGAGACATAATTGCAGCATTTTCAGCCCATATGTCTTTAGTTTAGCTACTTCAGGTCCAGCAGCAGGACAGCAGGAACTTCAGAGCAAGGTGACTGCTGGAATATGAGGGATGGTTTTGGCTGGGTTTATAGAGCCCATACTAAAACATTATCACTTCCCAAGTGGGCTGGAAATTTTTTTGCTTGAGTACTTGCTGGAAAGTGTTTCCATTGGCCTCCCAGGCACAGTGCAGGGAGGATGCAGGATGGAAACTGCAAGGCCATGGACTTGCCAGTGACATTCACCTCTGAGCAGCTGCAGGCACACCAGGAGAGAGCCAGTCACCTCTCATCTCCTGTACTGCTCTGGTTAGGCACTGTGGGTGGAACAAAAGGATAATTCAATGTGTTAAGGTAAAGTGCCTTAAATGCCACTGAGGATGCCCCTGCTCAGAAGTACTTGGGCCTTAATCCAACTCAGTTTAATCCCCAGGCAAGGACAGGAACTCTTTAATGGTCAAAGAGAACTACACGTCCCTTTAGTTCTGAACAAGAACATCCACTCAGGGAGAGTTAACCCTGGCCAGCTCCTTACCTTCAGCTAATCCAGCTCCACCTTCCTGGGCAGCTTCTGGGGGTGATGTACAAGCAATGATTGCCTTTACCCTGGGCACCCCCAGCTGCATCTTGCTTTATGAAGGGGAGCAAACCAGTTGTGTGGAACATCACCTTTGGTTCATTAAAACCCTGCTATACAGGGAACCTCTCAATTGTAGGGGGATGTAAAGCAAGTAGAGACTATCCAAACCACCCTTAATGGCCCAAAGGGTTGTGTCTTACACACAGTCCCTTCCCATGAGCTCAAAAAGGCTCTTTTCTGACCACCCACCTTCCCACTCACAGCAACTCATCAATGTGTAATTAATTCAACACTTCTCTGGATTATTACAACCCTTTCCCCATCATCTCAGCTGGGACTGGTCTTTGATTAATCAAGTAATCAGCCTCTGAAATTGGGAGGTTAATGGGTGGCTTTGACCTGGATATTCTCAGTTTTCATTCAGCTATGCAACTGTTAAGGACAAAATCCTATATATGAAAGTAAAAATTCAGTGACCACACTGCAGTGGTAAATAACATTTCGTCACTGTCAGAGACAGCTCTGCCTTTAATATATTGCCCATGTCCAACAGCAATATTTTTTTCCTTAATAAATGCAGCCTAGCCTTGGAAAAGTAAATCTGCCTCTTTCTACTGCATCTCAGAGGTTGCTTTTCCCAACTTTTATAACCTCAGAGGTGGATGGCACCCTAATTCATTAACTCCTTGAACAGCTTTTGTTATTCATGAAGAGTTAGTGCTTTTTCCACTGTTTTGTCTCTCAAACTTGGTCCTGCCAGTGGCCACCACGAGCATCCTCACCCCCACCCAACAGTGCTGGCCTAGTTAAACAACCCCCTGACTCTGCAAGAGCAACTAAATGATGGCAACTGCTTCCCTCCACTCCCCTCAGAGTGAAAAAATAAAAACTTTGACTACAATCACTCTTTTATGCAAGAAATCTGGAGCTTTCCAGTGTAACTGAAGTAGCAGGGAGCCTTCACCCCCAACTGGACTGTGTGCCCTTGCTGCCTCCCTGCTGCTCCTCCTGGCCCTCTTTCCAGAGCCTGCAGCAATGCTGGTGTCCTGGCTGGAGGAATTATCTGCATGAAGAACCTCTCTGCTCCTTAGAGATGCCTTGTGTCAGCCACTGGCACAAGGTGCTGAGCTGGGGAGCTGCTAATGTAGATGCAGCTGAACGTGCCAAGGGCGGGACAAAGCCTTGTCATCCCTCCCGTGACTCCATCAGGGCTTCTTTAGCTTAGGGACAGAGCAGGAAAAAACCCAAGCACGGGGACACAATGGGAATGCCTGAGTTTGCAGCTGCCCCCGGTGAAAGGTCCACTGAGCCCTGACTGTAAAACAGGGATTGCTCTTCCTTTACGCCCAATTAAGCCGCAGTGCTCAGCAGCTCAGCTCCAGCTGGTGCCTCTCTCCTGCAGTGTTTATCCCCTGGGAACAATTCAACCCGGGGCTACTCCTGGTTTAACTCAGGACAGCACTCAGCACTGTGACTGGCCCTGCTTTCACTGAGGGATCTGCTGACACAACCAAGAAAGCACACCATGAGCAGGATGCTTGGAAGAGTAACATCAGAGGAAGGTAAACTGAGACTTGAGAGAAGTCAGATGGGATCCCACTGCTGAAACAAAGCCATTTGAGATGTCCTGGGATATTTTTCATACCTTTTTTATCAGACTTCTGCAGGAAAGAAGCACCCTGCAGGTTCTGTGTGATACCAGCCAGCCCCAGGCCAATGTCTCAGACACCGTGGGGTGTCTAAAATGGCAAAAAAATGATTAATTTTAGGGTACCTATGGATCCTCCCTGCACCATGGGTCTGTCCAAGTACAGAGCTGGCATCACAGGTTCCCTGCACCCAGCCAGCAGGACAGCAGCATTTGCACAGACTTGGGGACAGTAATTAATCCTTCTAATATGTCCCCCATCAAGTGAAGATGTTAAGCTAAAATGCAGCTCATTGTTTGCCCTGCATCTGAATTCAAAGCTGTGAAAACGTTAATTCTTAAGCCTCACCTAATACCGCTAATTCCCGCCAAATTTCTCGCACAGTCAGGAAAAATTGATTTAAAAGTCATCCCTTGCACAGAGTGCAACTCAGCTGTTTCAGAGCAGTGCTTAAGGCCCAGACACAGAGGCCCTGGAACAGAGGGAGATCCTGTTGGGATGGTCAGAGCAGGGCTCCAGTGACAGCACTGATGTGTCCACCCCTTTCATCTACCACCTACAGAAAACTGAACATTTTGATCCATTCAGATCTTTGCCAGTGTTTGAAGAATTAGGTTTAATTGCATCTTTAAAAGACAGTATTTGAAAATGAGAATTTCTGTATTTAAAGAACCTGTTTGAGTTCCTGTATTTGACCTTGTTTTACTTGTACAATACAGGTGAGAAAAGTTGCAGAGGCCATGGGTGGGGAAGGTCACATTACAAATACTATTCATCCCAAAGAAGGGATGCCAAAGTATCTCCAAGTTTATGAAACAAATAAGAACTGAGAAAATAAGCAGGAGGTCACACAGGCCATGCCTTGGTTGAGGGTAATGACTGGCCTGAGAAAAAAAAAAAAGGAGAATAGAGAGAACAGGAAAATATATAGAAATCCTGTCCCATCTCCTTTGTATTCAGGCTGAGAGTATGCACAACAAGTTGCCCATCCTGAAGAGTTTGATGTGGAAAAAAAATCCTCACTTAAAAAAAAAATCATTAATCTGTTAGAAAATTAATATTGCCAAATGATTAATTCCTCCTAATGATACTGCTTCTTGAAACACCTTGTATTTTCACACACTTACATTGACTTTAATGAATAATTCAAACTATTTTGGATAAATAAATAAAATATGAGTTGGGCTTTTTTGGTCTCATATTGGAAATGTCACTGCTTTTTATTCCATTGCTTTGACACTCCTTACATCTGAAACTGTTCAGAGCAGCCTGGAAATACCACAGCTTTGGCTCTTGCTCCAAGTTCAGCCAGGTCAATCAGTAACAATAGCAGTCTCTGCACCAAAGAAAACCAAATTCACGCTTTGCCTTTTCCCCAGGGAAAGAGAAGGAAACAATGTGACTCTGAGCATGCCAAAAGTGGCATGAAATTAAATGTATCACTAGTCTTTTCCAGGAAAATACAAATTTGTTCTGCCCATCCTCAAAGATGCCACAAGCCATGTAGCTGCATTAATTCAGCTGCAACCCCAGCTCATATGGATCTCTCTCAGAAAGGCCTGCAGTCCTTTCTAACTCTCCATTAAAGGTTACTTTCCCTCAGTGACACGTTTGGGGGTCACTCACTCCAGCACATACAGGATAAAGGATTTACACATCAATTCCTGTCCTGCTGACCCTGCCAGGGTGCCACCCAACAGTGCTATGGAGGATGCTGCACTTTCACCAACCCTGCCTCACTTAAACAAGAGAGTGCTTAAATTTTGTTTCCAGCTTGCAGAAACGGATGCCAGAATCAC